CTCTAATCCTGCCTAAAAATACTGCCCCTAAGTAGGGAGTGGGACATTTATATTTATCTATTTTTTTTTTTTGCGATAACAGTATAAGAGCCACAGATCCACAATCCGGTACGCTAGCTACCAGGCGACGCTCGGCCATATTTAACGTATTTTGGTAATTTTGACAACCTTCTCTGTATAAAATACATAGTCAGGTCTTACTATAGTGGATATTTCAGATAAACTGTTTTATCCAGAAAAAACGTTTCTCCCCCAACTCATTCTCCAGTTAGCGATCTTTCATACCTGGTGTTTTAAATGTCTACATCCTGATAACCTAAAATATTTTACATCTTTGGATAACATGTGACATGTCGCCACAGTTAACCGGAACGTGAATTTCAGTGGTTAAACAAGAGGGAATCCTCAATAGCCGCGGCATTTGAAATTCTAAAGTTTAAGAGTGAATCTAGGGTAAAGTTTAAGTGTGAATCTAGGGTAAAGTTTAAGAGTGAATCTAGGGTAAAGTTTAAGAATGAATCTAGGGTAAAGTTTAAGAGTGAATCTAGGGTAAAGTTTAAGTGTGAATCTAGGGTAAAGTTTAAGTGTGAATCTAGGGTAAAGTTTAAGTGTGAATCCAGTGTAAAGTTTAAGTGTGAATCTAGGGTAAAGTTTAAGTGTTAATCTAGTGTAAAGTTTAAGAGTGAATCTAGGTTAAAGTTTAAGAATGAATTTCAAAAACACCAAATGTAATGAGTAATGAAAAGTGAACAAGATTTTAAACAGCCATAACAGTTTGTAAGAATATAAAATAACGTGTATTTTACTTTTGTTTATAGCTTTATTAACAAGACATCCTAGTCCTACATCTTCCCGACTCCCGTGGCAGCAGAGGCGCCACCTGCGGCCTAACACCGTCGGTATTGATAATCACAGATCGTTAACAGGTAATGTAGGAAAATATAATTAGTTTTTATTTCATTTAATTTCTGTGTGTTTGTTTGAATTTAAGCACAAAGCTACACAATAGGCTACCTGTTCTCTGCCCACCACCGGTATCGAAACCCGGTTTCTAGTGTTGTAAGTCCGCAGACATACCGCTGTGCCACTGGGGGGCTGTGTGTTTGTTTGAATCTAACCACAAAGCTACACAATGGGCTAACTGTTCTCTGCCCACCACGGGTATCGAAACTCGGTGTCTAGTGTTGTAAGTCCGCAGACATACCGCTGTGCCACTGGGGGGCTGTGTGTTTGTTTGAATCTAACCACAAAGCTACACAATGGGCTACCTGTTCTCTGCCCACCACGGGTATCGAAACCCGGTTTCTAGCGTTGTAAGTCCGCAGACATTCCGCTGTGCCACTGGGAGGGGGGGGCTGTGTGTTTGTTGCGAAGGGAAGGTAAAATAATCACCACCTCTCACTGCCCACTCTTTGGCTACTTTTTTTGTCTGACCGAATAATGGGATTTGACAGTCCCTTTTATAACGCTCATAGGGTAAAGTTTAAGTGTGAATCTAGGGTAAAGTTTAAGAGTGAATCTAGGGTAAAGTTTAAGTGTGAATCTAGGGTAAAGTTTAAGAGTGAATCTAGGGTAAAGTTTAAGAGTGAATCTAGGGGGCTATGCGCAGATAGCCTTTTTGTGTAATTTTGCGCGAAAAATCTTAAGCAAACAAATACATTCTAATAGTGAATATAATAAGTGAGACATCTGGTGGTGAAAAGATTGGAGGAAACGGAAAACAATCCAAATTCGTCAGACGGATATGATATGATTACCTCAATGTCTTCTTAGCAACTGTACTTCTCCAACTGAACATCCACAGGGCCATCATCGGTTCATCAGCAAAGCCAAAGATAACGACAACAGAGAATAACTTTGTAGTTAAAGATCTGAAGCTTGATAGAGTCATTTTATAGGACGTCAGTTTTTATGTAAACCGAAATGATACTCTCTAGACCAATATGTTAATAACCGAAATGTTACTCTTTAGACCAGTGTATTAACCGAAATGGTTTACAGACAGCTTCGTACATATTGGAGTATACAATATGTTTTCTTTCAATGGAGCAGAAAGGATGAGAACCTCTAAGAGGTTTATACCTTTTTCAACTTTGACCTTTGAATTTAATGTCCAGAAGTCATCCTACTTGTCGAAAACTTAAAAATGAAACACGTGTGTCAGGTGTGTTTTTTGGTTAGTTTTATTATTTAGCTATCAAAAGGTAAAACTACATATGCTGTGGTAGTGGTAATTGGCACTAGGTGTCGCTAACAAACACACAGCTGTAAACATCTTTCACTCTTGATAAGATTTGGGGTTTTTGTTTGTTGAATTTTCCCGCAAAGCTACTCGAGGGCTATCTGCGCTAGTCTTCTCTAATTTTGAAGTGATAGACTAGAGGGAAGGCAGCTAGTCAACAACACCCAGCACAAACTCTTGGGCTTCTCTTTTACCAACGAAAAGTGGGATTGACAGTCACATTATAACGCCCTCACTAGGCAGATTACGAGTCGATCGTCCTAACCACCAGGCTGATATGGGATAATTGTTAAACAATTAGATTTTTTTTTCTTAAATCTTAGATGGCGTTCCCAATGCTTTAATATATTCAATATGAGCAAGATCTTAAGTGGCACATAGGCTTAATGATCAGGCCAGAGACTCCAAGGTTTAGCCAGGCTAGAGACTCAAGGTTTAGCCAGGCCAGAGACTCCAAAGTTTAGCCAGGTCAGAGACTCCAAGGTTTAGCCAGGCCAGAGACTCCATGGTTTAGCCAGGCCAGAGACTCCAAAGGTTTAGCCAGGCCAGAGACTCCAAGGTTTAGCCAGGCCAGAGACTCCATGGTTTAGCCAGGCCAGGGACTCCAAGGTTTAGCCAGGCCAGAGACTCCAAAGTTTAGCCAGGCTAGAGACTCCAAGGTTTAGCCAGGCCAGAGACTCCAAGGTTTAGCCAGGCCAGAGACACCAAGGTTTAGCCAGGCCAAAGACTCAAAGTTTAGCCAGACCAGAGACTCCAGGGTTTAACCATAGTTGTCTTTAATTTAAAACCTACTGGCCAGAGGGAGGGCGAGCAGCTAGCAGCACTCGCCATCTACACGGCTACACTCAACCACATATAGTAGGCCTAGGATATTAGCACCTGTGTTCAGAAGTACATCGAGAGTCGAACCCTGGACGCTAATTATTTGTGGATCTCCTGCACGTGTTTTCCTACGTTCCATATATTAGTTGAAATGAAAGCACAATTAATTATTCTCACAATTTATTTTATATTTTAGTTTGTTTGTATTTATTTAAAATAATGCGGATGACGTCAAATATTTTTTGATATAAAAGTTAATTTTAAGACCACCACCAAAGAATTAGTTTCAAATTTAATCATAACCATGAATAGAACTTTTGAGGTATTTCAAGTCTTATAAATCTGAGACGTTTGATAAACCTAAAACAATGTTATTTCAAATGAAAAAAACAACTTACAATTCACAGTAAATCGATATTGTAGATTCAGAATTAATCACAACTAGGAGGAAATGTGTTTATTTGTTTTAGAGCTGTGTCCACTGCGAGGAACTGAACCTCGGATTTTAACGTCGTAGCTGTCTCACAGGGGCACTCTACAGTTCCTTTAACATTGATGGCTTGCATAAAACTCAGTTCCGGATATTGTTATCATATTCAGGGTATTTCAGGGTAAAACCTAAAATAAGGGCAGGCGTGGCCCAGGGAATAGTGCCCAAGTTGTAAATCTGTTGTTACATGATTTGCGTCACGTTACTCAAAAATGCTCTGTACGTTGGAGCTGTCCATGCGCTATAAGAATGACAGTCAAATCCGATTATTCGGTCAGATAAGAGTAGCCCAAGATTTGGCGGTGGGTGATGTTGATTAGTTACTTTCCTCTGGTCTATCAGTTCAAAATTTAGAGTGTTTATGCGCAGGTAGACCTTGTGTTGCTTCGACAGAAAATTGGAAAACAAAGAAACAACGTAATATTTTCATTAATTTGTCTAGGGTAAAGTTTAAGAGTGAATCTAGGGTAAAGTTTAAGTGTGAATCGGTCCTGATTTTAAATTGATAGACCAGACGGAAGGCAGCTTATCAACAGCATACACACAAAAA